AATTTGTTCAACATTGTTGCACCAAGCTAAAAAAAAAAAATCCAACAGTGGAAAGAGAGTTGTGTTTCTCCCAAGTGGCTATTTGCACATGATGATATGCAGTTAATCTTCTGCACTAGTCACTTCCATTCCAACATGCATCACAGAGAAAGGTATTAAACCTGTTGCCTTACACAGCACTATTACATTTAAATATCAGTGGAGCGGAAGGATAAAGGCAGAGTTTAAGTGTTTCTGTATATACTTCTGCAGAGCCAACTATCAGTGTAAATATATTTGAGCCTTAGGGGGGGTGTTTTTTTTCCTTTTTGCTCTTGTTTCTGTACTTGGTCCCTTCCCAAGGATCAATTATCTAATTCTGTCTTGCAGTTATGGGTCCTGAAATCTACTGATGGTGTTGATCTTGCCAATGAACTTGAGATCGGGAATGGGAAGAGAAAGACGTAATCTCTGCTCATCCCTTTAGCTGCAGGATTACTGAAGGGTTGAAGCTCAGCAACATTCTGCTTCTGCCTGCCCAAGTAATTGACAGTGATGTGAGTTGTATTTGCTGAGGTTATAATTTTGCGACTCCCGACGTTACAGCTCAGTGTTCATCAAGACGAAATGCTCTTGGCTGACTTTTTTGTGCCATTCAAGCACCATAAGTAGAATATGAATCATATTGCTCCTCTTTCAGCATAGATTGAGAAGAGCGGGTTTGTGGTTTTGTGTGTTCCCTGAGGTGAAGATGCCTGGCGAGCCTCAAATGGAGCTCGGGATTATAGAGAGGCTCTTTGAAAAGCTTCTTGTTGCTTACACAAACACTTAATAGAAAGGATTCATGTTGGCTGCCAGGTTTACACTAGGACTTTTAGATGGTGTTCATATTGAGGGACAGAATGGGGGTTTTACTGGGGGGAAAATGCAGGCCCTACACCGTCTTCCCCAGTTCTTGGTACTCTGCAAAAATCTCTAGCCAGCATGGTCATTGTGGGGACATTGTTGATAGAGAGAATGTCGTACAGGTAGTCCTCAACTTACAACCACAGTTGGCCCAAAATTTATGTTTCTAAATGAGACACGTGGTAAATGAGTTTTGCCCCATTTTACAACTGTTTGTTGCCACAGTTGTTAACTGAATCACTGCACTTGTTAAGTTAGTAACAGGACTGTTAAGTAAATCTGACTTCCCCACTGGTTTTGCTTAGGTCAGAAGGCCACAAAAGGTGATCATGTGACCCCGGGACACTGCAACCGTCATAAATATGAGCCAGTTGCCTTGTGCCTGAATTTTGATCACATGACCATGGGGATGCTGCAATGATCATAAGTGCGAAAAATGGTCATACGTCACTTTTTGCAATGCTATTGTAACTTTGAACGATCACTAAATGAACTATTGTAAATTGAGGATTGGCTGCATTGCTGTTCCATGGATTTTCTGTGAGGCATATTAAGGGCAAGGCCAGACTCCAGCATAAGCTAAACATGAGCTAAACAAGCTTCAAAATATGAAGGGGCCACCTAAAATTTCAGATTTTTTATTAAATCAGATATAGTTTTATTATTTTATACATGAAAATCTTCATAAAATTAAGTGCACCTGTATAGTTCACATAACCCTCATTACTAAATAAAGATAGGCTTTATTACTACTTGCATGCACACCTCCAAAATGGGACCTTCCCAATCCTATCATGGGTTTCTTAGGTTTCCTGGTAGCATTGTTGCCAAATTCAGTTGTTAACAGTCTTATTCTCTGTTAGTGCTTGTCAAGCAGACTCTCTATAGTTTCCCATAGCTTAGGTCTCACTATGTCTAAATCCTCTGCTGGTTTAGGTGCATGGATTTCACAGCCAGTGGAAAAATCATCAACAAATTGCTGTAAATGGTAAAATTTCTAACAGGTGGCTATTCAGTTAATGTTTGCTTCTTCCTCCAGCCCATTTTTGGAGGTGCAATTGCTGGCTAAGGAATTCTGGTAGTTGAAATCCACAAGTCATAAAAGGGCCAAGTTTGAAGACCCTTGCTTTAGGCTATATCACTTGCCTGGACATACTATCATGGCAAAGGAGACACTGGAAAATATTGCTTGACTTTTTTTGTTGCCTCACAAATTATAGTAAACTAACTTAAATAGGCTTTCCTGGATGTGCCCAGTATTTAGATCAGGGGTGTCAAACTCACAACGTCACATGACGTGTCATGACGTATCGTGACTTTTTCCCCATTGCCGCCAATGAGGTGGGCACGGTTTGGGCATGACGCCATCCGGGCCGGCAGCTTGACACCCCTGATTTAGATCCTCAGAAAAGCCATAAGCAGAGACAGCATAGCCACTGCAGACATCAGTATATCATATGCAACTTTAACTGCTCTAATGGTATGTGGGAATGACCTTGAGGGATGAGAGGAGGAGATACTGCCTAGGAAACAATCAGACAAGAGAGAGGGAAGCCCCCAGGGGCTAAATCAGTGTTTTTCAACCTTGACAATTTTAAGGCATGTGGACTTCAACTCCCAGAATTCCACAGCCAGCAATGCTGGCTGTGGAATTCTGGGAGTTGAAGTCCACATGCCTTAAAATTGTCAAGGTTGAGAAACACTGGGCTAAATAGTCAAAGGAAGAAATTTAGGAAGGACCTGTCCTAGTTGACCAGGCAGTTAAAAGTGGCTGCAGGAGATACGTGCCTTCAGACTTGAAAGATTCTTTTAATGTAGCCTTACAGTAAGGTAGATTTAGCTCATCTCATTGTCTTTCCTATCTGGGTTACCTGGAAGGGTTGACAGCTGAAGCTCTGAACACTCTATTGTGGGGGCCTATTATAAAATGTAGTAGGGAATATTTTGGTATAAACTTACTTAAGGTTGCACTGTTAGGGCTCTTTCTAAGCCATCAATTGAATGGGATGGATGAAGACCCAGATTTTATGTGTGTGTGTGTATTTTATATATCTGCATGAGGGTCCTACTGATTGCTTTTAAGCTGATTAGGAGACAGAAGAGGGCTACCACAAACATACCAAATGACAATCCAGCATCTGTTGTTGTGTATGAGTTGTGTGTTTTTTTCTGAAGGTTTCATAACAGGATTAAGCCATTTGAACGTCACACATGTTACCATGGCTACAGTAAATCATTTTCATGCACAGCTTCTGAGTCAGGAAGTTTCTCTCCAAAATGTCTCCTTATTTCCATAGAACTTTCTCTCTGTTTTTTTCCATGGCTGGGTTCTGAACTTCATAATCCCTTTCAAACTGTGAGGATTAATTACTGCTCAGAACGGGAAGCAAAATCGTATAACTTTAACTTACTTACTGACTTCCTCTTGAACTAATCTACTGTTTGTAAGTCCAGCCAGAAGGAACTACAGCAGCAGTTCTCAACCTGTGGGTCGGGACCCCATTTGGGGTCGAACGACCATTTCACGGGGGTCGCCAAACAACACAGTCTGCCATTTTTTCCCCCTTTTCCTTAGCTGTGCTACTCCCTTTTATTCTATTGGCTTTTGAAAGCCAATAGAATAGACTCTCTTGAATAGAGTCTAATTCTATTGGCTTTCAAAAGCCAATAGGAATTGTCCAGGCTGTCTCTGCCCTGCTGAGCCCGACAAAAGTCCCATTCTGCAAACAGTGCTGCACCAGTTGAGTAGTCCTCGACTTACGACCGGTTGAGTAGTCCTCGACGTACGACCGGTTGGGGGGGTCGTGGCACTAAAAAGGTTGAGAACCACTGAACTAGAGTATTAATGGCCGCTTTTAGGAAATGTAATGCTCACAAAAAATAAAACTTTTAGCAAGTGGTCCGAGTGAATGCCTCTGCTCAAAGTGTTCTTGAAGACCTTGCCTGAGTTTAGGAAGGCCCATATAATGGGGGCAATAATTAATTTTAACCTAAGCTTTGAAAGTTATATTTGAATGATCAGCTTCAACTTCAGGTAAAGAAATATTTTTGTTTGTCTGGAATTGTGGCAAATATCTGTAGCTCAGGTGTAGGATGAGGGCGAAGGTTTGTTCTACAAGCTTGTGGGTTGTTTCCAGACATATTGTTACCCATCTTCAGTGTGGTTTAGGGGATCCCCTAAATGCTGCTGAAGATGTTACCTAGCCTGGTAGGTAACATTTGGAAACCAACCCACAAGCTCGGAGAATGAACCTTCATCCTCAGTTTTGTTTGTGTCTGTGGTGGAAATCCAAGCCATGTCTTCCTGGTCCTCGGGCCTTTGCAAATCTTGTGAAAAGAACACAACTGCAAATCTGTAGTTCTTGGCAAAGCGGCATATATTTATTACTTCATCCACAAATCATTTGAGCCTTTACCGTATATTTTTCTTAATACAATACAAACAAAGAAGACAATAGAACAAATTTCCCAATAACAGAATAGCTAACAGATGGAGATATTTTTAACTCTTCTTTGTGCCTGACTTGTTATTTCGGAGAGCTCCTTGTTACTTCTTTTGACTTCTCCTTGATACATAAGCTAGACAACGATAAGCAAAATGAAATGACACCTGGAGAAGATCATGATGCTTTTGGTCAAAAGGAAATTGGATTTTGAGGTTTAGTGTTAAATCTGTTCAGGAAGGGTTGTGTCTTGCTGAAATAGTAGGTGGGGATTCTATTTGATTCTCTAGTGGGGTCAAGAAGCACCGTATGCACAACTTGGTCTGCCAATCATAAACATGAATCAGCTGGTAACAGGGCGTTCAACCGTTGTTCAACTTTCGACTGCAGCTATCTAAGCTGAAGTATAATGTGCTCCAGGAGAGAGGAAGAGAGCTTCCCCTGTTTCACTACCAAGAGACAAAATTCACATTGTATGATCTTTATCCTTTCCACTTTAAATTGGACTTCTGAATTACTTTTTTAAATAATGTGTCTATGCATTTTTTCAAAGTTTGCTTTGATATTTTATTTCAATTGCATTTGAATGGATGATGGGTTATACATCTTATAATAACAGCTAACACGCTGTTGCCAAACTACGCTGTTTCAAGCATGTCGTTTCTATTCTAGATTTGGCCCCATTCGACACCATGGCTACCAGCGCAGTGCCAAGTGAGAACCTGCCCACTTATAAATTAGTGGTGGTTGGAGATGGAGGTGTAGGGAAAAGCGCCCTCACCATTCAGTTTTTCCAGAAAATCTTCGTGCCAGATTATGACCCAACGATTGAAGACTCCTATCTGAAGCACACAGAGATAGATGGGCAGTGGGCAATTCTGGATGGTAAGTTACTTTTTCCAGATTTGACTGGCTTTTCAATGAAAGTCCCCAGTGTTTTCACACATAAATTTGTGCTATATGTTATACGCTTGATATCAAGGCAGCTAATAGAACTTAACTAGCTCAGTTCAGGTTATGCTTATTTTATCCATAGCAACTTTTTAAGTAAGTCCGCAAATAATTTACCAACAACTACTACTATAACTGTGGCTAGTTCAGGAAGGATGCTGCATTTTGACCATCTTCTGTGCCAGGAGCAGAGCGAGAGAGACTTTTTCTCTCCTCTCAATTCATCTGCAATAATTTGTTTAGTGACTGTTGGAAGTTAGAACAGCACTGAAAAAAGTGACTTATGACCTTTTTTTTCATACCTATGACAATTGCAGCATCCCCAGGCAATCAAGATTCAGTCGCTTGACAGTTGCAGCAGTTTCAGAGTCATTACCTTTTGCAACCTTCTGATAAGCAAAGTCATTGGGAAGCCAGATTCGCTTAATGCTTAGTAACGCTTAACAACCATGTTACTAACATAACAACTCCAGTGATTTATTTAACACTTGTGGCAAGGAAGGTCATAAAATGAGTAAAATTCACTTAACAGCTGTCTTGCCTAGCAACAGAAATTTTGAGCTTGGTTATGGTTGTAAATTGAGGACTACTGTACCCTTTGTTGAGCCAAAAGGGAGATCAAGGTGCTTAGTGTCCCCTCAACTACCAGCTATCCTGTGCACTGTTTCTTATGTAATAAGCTTAATGGACTGGGGGGCATAAGGTAGGATCTTAACATTTTTGAAATATTCTGGCCAGCAACTAGACTCTAGAAAGAGTACAGAGAAGAGCAACAAAGATGATTAGGGGACTGGAGGCTAAAACATATAAGGAATGGTTGCTGGAATTGGGTATGTCTAGTTTAATGAAGAGAAGGACGAGGGGGGACATGATAGCAGTGTTCCAATATCTCAGGGGCTGCCACAAAGAAGAGGGAGTCAAGCTATTCTCCAAAGCTCCTGAAGGCAGGACAATTAACCAGTGGAACAACCTGCCTCCAGAAACGGTGAATGCTCCAACACTGGAAGTCTTTAAGAAGAGACTGGACAGCCATTTGTCCGAAATGGTATAGAGTTTCTTGCCTGAGCAGGGGGTTGGACTAGATGACCTCCAAGGTCCCTTCCCACATTGTTGTTGTTGTTATACAACTTCAATGGCCAGAACTTATAATTGGATATAGAAAAGAAATGAGATGAATAATCTTGGGTCACTTTATTTGTTTGTTCATTATATTTATATAGCCACCATCTTTCAACCAATTCTGGGTTATTTCCAACTATTTCCAGCATAAATGGAATAATGCAGAAACTTTCTCCTTACGGTGTTCCTGGAAGCCTTTCCACAGAAATATTAAGAAATACTCTTGTGCCGGCTCTGGGGACACAAGATGACACAAAGAGATGAAGAAAGTTGCAATATAATTTATTTTATGGCAGTGCTTCAGTTCTAGCCAATATCCAAAGATGAATGGCAGATAAGAGTTTCTTTTTCATTAGAACTGGGGAGATAGAGAGTGTGAAATCTTCTATATGATCTCACAACTATTATGGCCAAACAGGTATTGAGACCTAGGCCTTCTTCAAGACTTTTGATTGCAAATAAATGTATTTCTTTTCCATTCAAAGTTTTCGTAACAGTGATTAAATAAACGTAAGTCATCTCTGAACTCAGCTCAGCCATGGCTGTCTTTCTGATTTTTTTTTTCACATGTGTTTTCTTTTTTAAGAACAAGTCCATCTGAAAAAGAAAAAAAGTGTAAAAAGCTATGAAAATGTATAAACAATGGGTTATTAGTGGTGGGATGCTGTCTGACAATTTCTGCAATTTCGTCCCCATGGAATTTTCATTCTTTCTTTCTTGGAATCAGCATGTCCAGTTCCTGATGGCTTAATATATATGCATATTTAGTTGATTTGCATATACTACGGCAATCTAAGAATGACAGTTGCTTGACCAATTAGTTTCATTTCAGTATCATCAAATACTATCCCCCCAAATCCTTAATTTTTGAAAAATTATTAACAGGTAGCTGTGAAGGAAGGAAGAAAGACAACATATAATTGTTTTGAGCCCTAATTGCTTTAATGCAAGCAGAGTTAAAAATAAAACAGCTTTTTCAACTGAGAAAATGTATTAACCCTGGAAAGAGGAGCCAATTTAATCTTCTTCTTCTTCTTTTGCAATATATGCTGAAGCTTAACTATAGAACGTTTGCTCATTATCTATTAGGAATTTTTATAACTCTGATGTTACAGGTATACAATTAAAATTCCAATAAAAACAATGGCTTAAGACTAAGTGCTACTTTACAAAACCACATTTATGAAAGATATGTTCAAGTGGTCCTCAGCTAACGAGCGTAATTAAACTGAAACTCCGTCACTAAGTATGCCAGCTGTAAAATGTCAAATTATGTGACTGCGCCAACTTACAATGGAAATTTTGGTGATCCCAGTTACAGTCATTAAGCCAGCGATGTGCAGTTATTCAGTACAACATGACATGACCACAACTTGCAATTTACTGCCTACTTCCAACAAGCAAAGTCAGTGGGGAAGCTGGCAGGAAGTCACAAGTCATGCTCATGACAAACTTCCCTTTGTTCAGGTCCTTTTCTTGCATTGAAATGTAATCTCGTGGAGTCCAATTAGATGAGGAAAAAAGCATATTTCCCAAACTTCATCGCACGCTCAGTGGCCTGAAATGCTTAGAAACCATTTGGTGCTCAGAAGGAGACGTAGGAAAGGGACAACCTGAAGTCTCAGGCACTGGTTTTCTCTTTGGGAAGAGACAGGAATCCAGAAGCTCTTGCTTGCACCACTGAAACTGTGTATCAGGCAAACAAGCAGGCAAGACATCTGCCATTGCAGGTGCAAGATCTTATAGTTGCTGGGCTGTTTGTGTCATGGCTCCAGAAGCTGTGGACTGTCACACCATGTGATGCTGATGCTGCTTTTCCTGGTGGCATTAGAGTGCCTGCAGGTTTCTCACTGGATGAGCATGGTGTACAAGCTAGACACCAACTGCACAGTGGAGACAGCACTGAAAGCAGACACTATGGGAACAGCTTACCCAAGAACAGCACACAAGGCCTAGTAGGCAACCGCTGTGGTGGAACAGCCCCCCACATAGAAGGCTGCAACCCAAAGTTGGAATACAAGTTCCCCACGTCACTCGGAGGCTCTTTGGGAGAAAAAGCAGCAGGAGTGACATGACTTCCTGCCAGCTTTCCCACTGACTTTGCCTGTGGGAAGTTGGCAGTGAAGGTTGCAAATGATTGTCCTAAATCAGGGGTCCCCAACCCCCAGTTCATGGACCGGTACCGGGCCACAGCGTGCCAGCACAAACAAGCAAAGCCCCGTCTGTGGGATGCAGGCAGCACACAAAACCATGCACACTCTGGTCCATGGAAAAACCTTTCTCCACGGAACCGGTCCCTGGTACCCAAAAGATTGGGGACCTCTGCCATAAATGATTGAGGGACACTGCAACCATCGTAATTACAAGCTAGTTGCCAAATGCCCAAATTGTGATCATATGATCATGGAGATGCTATGACGGCCACAACTTCAAGGACTGATTGCAAGTTCCCCTCAGTGTTATATGGCTGCTGAATGAATGGTCACTCAGTGAGAACTACTTGCATTGTCTCCTTCGATCCAGCATGTTGGTTGCTAGCCACAGGAAAGTGGAATCCAGATATTTGCAGTCCAGTTTATTCAGTGGCAAGCAACTATATTTCAAGTTTTAGTTTAAAATCTTCCCATAAGCTTTATTAGCATTGTTCACAATGTTTTGTTTGGACCACTAGTAGATGCATTTTTACTTCATTTTTAAAAAGCATATTTTTTCAGCTGTCTGCTTTTGTATAAACAGCCAAGGCAACTTGAGAGTGAATTGACCAGGTGCAATTGTCGATGATGATTTTGAAAAGCATTCAGTCTTGTGTGATTGGCTAAGGAGCTTATTGTTTCCTTTAAATAATAAGGGTTTTTTAAAAGAAGCATTATTTCCAGTTACCATTATATTACAGGACTTCTTAAAGATTATCACCAGATGGTTGTGAAAAGTAACTTTCTTTTTTTTAAAAAAAAAAAAAGAAAAGGGAATGGAAAAAACATCAAATCAAGATTAAAGTGGGGTACCTCTAAGCCAGGGGTCTTCAAACTTGGCCCTTTTATGACTTGTGAACTTCAACTCCCAGAATTCCTCAGCCAGGCACGCTGGCTGAGGAATTCTGGGAGTTGAAGTCCACAAGTCATAAAAGGGCCAAGTTTGAAGACCTCTGCTCTAAGCTTAGGTCAGAAAATCCCAGTGTTACCTCAGGCCTAATATTCATGAAGCAATGTAGAGTACAGTGAATCTGAATTTGCACCACAGGGGTTAGAGTAAGCCTGACCAATGGTGAAGAAAACTCCTGTTTCGGCAACATCCAAGAGAACTCACTCTGGTTTTATAGTTTGAACTTCATTAACATGAGCTGTGCTGTGCTGATCACTTCAAAAGCCTTTAGCAGGCGAATATCCCAGCAATAGGAGTCTTGCCCCACTGTCTTTCGGATTGGCTGATGCTGATCTTGAGCCAGACATTAAATGTTTCTCTCCTCTCATAGAAGAGAGGGACTGTTTTGAATCCTGACTTTTACCATGGTAGAAGGACAAATGTTCTTTCCACCACTCTTCAAAACAGAGGGTGGTTTCTCTCTTTTGTATTTCTTTCACAAATCATGCTTTAAAGCAACAAGCTTCAGGACTTCTTAACCCCATTTGTTTCCGATGAAGGAATGATTACAGCACATTTATTTACACAAGTAAATGTCATGCCAGAAGCATGCAATAAGATGTGCTGTAATATACCATAACATATTAATATAGTATATAACATACACACACACACACACACACACACACACACACACGGTACAAAAAAGACATCCAAGGTCCCTTCCAACTCTT